GAACACGAACACACTTTTTGAGCTCGAACTATAAACGAGCGGAACACGAACACACTTTTTGAGCTCGAACTATAAACGAGCGGAACACGAACACACTTTTTGAGCTCGAACTATAAACGAGCGGAACACGAGCTAGACTCAAGATATGTAAATTCATTATATTTAATCTTAGTCATCTACTAAAATACCTCTTTTAAGAATATTTTATAATAAGAATTGAGTTCGGACATCACCTCAGCCGTCGCGTTGGCGGTCATCGCGGCCACCGCCCGCGCATTAACGAACCTCCACTGCAACAACTTCACCACCAACACCCGCAACCGATGCCCCTCCTCCTCCATCCCCTCCGCACCCTCCTTCCTCCTCTGAAAAACTTCCAGCACCCTCCTCCTCCTCCCCTCTCTATCCCCACCAACGCCGCCTCCATCCGCCGCCGGATACCTCCCCGGCGACAGAGCCCACGCAGACGGCGCCACGCTGACAACCACTTTCTTCAAACTGTGCCGCACGGCATCGATCCTGTTCTCCTTCTCCTTGCACGACCGACGGATGCATTCTCTGGTTTCTCCTGCAAAGCCGTCGATCGGCTTGCTGTTCGTCACGGGGGACAGCGGGGGAAGGTCGTTGAAGAGGGGAGGAGTGATGTTTTGGCTTCGGGTGAAGCGGGGGGAGGGTGGATGAGTGCTCTTCATGCTATCGTTTTGTTCGTCGGGCATTCCTTAAATGCTCTTGATTAAGACTTATATTGATGTTGGCGAGATGATACCAATGAACAGTAGAATGGATTTTCAATTATGTTCGATAGTCACACTCAAGGATATAACACTAAAGAGTACAACGCAATATAATAGAGAGAGAATTATATGAGAGAGAGAGAGAGAGAGAGAGAGAGAGAGAGAGAGAGAGTGGAATACATAATAGTGAAATGTATAATGAAATTTTAAGTAGCCCATATTAAAAAAAATGAACTCCTAGGAAAAATTATTCTCTCAATCCAAAAATATCACTTGCCAATCATTTATTATTATTATTTTACTGTAAAGAATCGTAAAAAATCGTAACATTAAAAAAATTGCGTGTAGAAAGGATAAATTTATAATTTTTATTTTTTCTTGTAATTGGGATTGACTAATTTATCACTATTTATACAACCATGTTCTATTGATTGTACAGATTTATCTCAGCATAACCGATGCAACATGATTGTACTGAATGGAAGTAAGTAATGTTGTCTTAGTTGTACTGATTTGCAAGTGCTAAAGCCAATCATAAGACTTGTGAATCAATTACAGAAAAAATTTTCGGCATGGTTGTGCACAACGAAAAAAAAAACTTATGATCTGTAATGCTCTTATGCCCACTCTTATGGTTCAGTGTAAGAAAGGATCATGTGTGTTATTGGTCAGGTAAAAAGGAATATAAAATCAAAAGATTTATATGCTCAAAGGCTGGTTTTAAGAAATGACACAATCTAAACACCAGGGTGAAGTTCCAGAAATCAACTATTAGGACTGGTTGTCAGAAATGTTTCAATTTGTCATTGATTGTGAAGGTAATTGGACTGTAAATAAATTTATAGATACCCGCATTTATTCATTAGCCATGCTAATTAATCAACATCTGTTGAGATCACATCGCACAATTAACGAAGACAAAGAAGTTTTGTTACAAACAAGAATTATAACTATTGATGCATTCTAGTATCTTGTTGATGAAGTTGAAGGAATAAAGAATCTAGGTTTTACAGAAAGAGATGTATATAATCATATACCAAAAGGTAAATGATCAAGAATTGAGAACAGAGATATTAATGCTTTAATGCAATTATTCGAGGAAAGACAGACTGAAGATAATTTTTTGCATGGGATGTCCAATTTGATGAGTCAGATAGACTAAATATTTTTTTTAGACTAATGACATGGTAAGGGTTGACTATGACTACTTCGGAGATGTCATAGTTTTTAATACAAGTTATCAACTTAATAAGTACAATTTAGCTTGTGAACCATTTGTGGGAGTTGATCATCATTAAAAAATGTTTTGTTATGAGTAGCTTTTTATCAGAAGAGACAATTGAGGCGTTAAACTGACTATTCAAAATTTTTATTCACATAATGGATGAAGTACTCTTTATATTCATTGATGAAGACCAAGCTGTGTGAAAGGCCATAGATGTTGCATTGCCACACACTCGACATATACTATTCAGTGACATGTTATTAAGAAGGCTCCTTTGAAAGTACATTGCTTCAATGACAACAATAGAGTAAAAAGACTATTCTACACATGGATGTGTATGTGATGTGGAAGAGGAATTTGAGCAAGCATGGTCAAAATTGATTGGGAAAGAAACCTCAAAGGTAAATCTTGGTTAAATAGGTTATATAGAATTAAAATCAAGTGCTCTAAAAAATTCAATAAAGATACTTTATGTCTAAAAATTCTATCAATATAGCATAATAATTCTGCAAATAATGTGTGCTATCGAATTTCCAAGCCCACAAACTCAATCACTGATTGTTTTCTGGGATTAGAAAAGGTCATGGATACATGGAAAAGAAACAAATAAAATCAGAATTGTAAATGTGACCATTCTGCGATTTTTCCTGTTGCAAGAAGCAGCTCGATACCGAAGCAACTCATTACATCCTACAAAATCCTTCTTTGAAGAAGAATTTCTACACGGGGCATGTGGATTAGCGGTAGAAAAAATTAATTAAAGTTCTTCTGAATACATGGTTAGAAACTTGGATAACAATGGAAATTCTAAGATTTGGACTATCCAATTTGATAAAATCAATTCCACTATACAATGCAATTGCAAGAAATTTGAGATGAATTTATTACTTTGTGCCCACTATATCAAGATTTTGTCTCAAGAACATGCTATTAGAATACCATAAAAGTTTCTGCTAATGAGATGGTCCTGTAAAGAAAATAAAAATATTTAATCTGATACTGCTTATAAAAAATTTGAGAGTTTGAAAGAATTAGTGGGACTTCCACTTTATTTATATTTTATAATAACATCAGCAAATATTCATATCAAATAAGCTGCAGAGCACAAGGTAATATAGAAACATAACAATATATGTTAGAAACCTTGAAAAATTATCAGACGATATCGAACTAATACGTGGAGGGAACTCACCTCAATTGACAAAGTCCATGAAGAGGAAAAAAAAAATTGAGAATGATATGTGCGGGTAAAAGAAACAACCAAAATGCGACCAAAAGGTGTTACTAATGCAAGATTGAAATCTCACTGAGAGAATAACAAAAAATTAAGAGTAATTCTTATATTAATTATTTTTACATTTTTTATAGATTTTTTTTTTCACCGCTTACTCAATGTTACTATAACATAAAATAAAGATAAACAAACAATAATTGAATATCATAAAGAGGCAACGACAACAATCCCTTTCTCTGTTATGCTTCAATGTTTGATATGCCACCAACAAATTTTCATCATCAAGCATGAATCTTGAGACAATATTTTGAGCAAGAAATATTCAATTCTTAATAAAAAGTCATCAAGAGCTCCAATTTCAGTAAACTTATAATTGAACTGATCAAATCGATGAGACAGACCTAATGATATCAAAGTTAGTCCAATCTCAGTCAAATCAAGCCCATATCAAGTGATTAAACCATATTGGAAGATTTTCAGACTTATTTGAAATGTCAAACGAATATCGAATTCAACGAGTCTATAGTTGAATCGAGCGTCTCAACAAGGCGAATCCAACAAGCCCAACTGTTAAGGAACCCAAATGTCCATCAAACGACATCCGATTAAGGGAAGCTCTTTGTACCGTCCGATCAAAATAATTCATATTCCTGCATTAATTGTATACAAAATACTATAAATAGAGCTCCACCCCTCACATGAGAGGAGAGACTTGAGAGAGAACTTAATGGTTTGAAAATGAGCTCAAGTCAAACATCATTTTTGTCATCGTCGATCACCATCGACCACCAACGACTGTTGGCGACCACTACTGACCACCTTCGGTCGGCTGCAGTTGACCACCGCAGGCCGCCGTCGACCACTGTCGATCACCGCTGACCTCCATCGACCACCGCCTATCACTGCCGACCACCGCCTACTTTCATCGACTGTCGTAGACCACCGTTGATCAGACGTCGTCAGTCGACGTTGAAACTTGGAAAATCTAATAACTCTTTTTCTAGTACTTTCCCGTCTGTGGGACAAGGGCTCGCTGTAATCATCAACATATAGCGGATTGTTTAACTGGGTCAAACCCCGTGGTTTTTTCCCTTTACAGGTTTTCCAACCTAAAGTGGATTTTTATAACTGGGTCAAACCCCGTAGTTTTTTCCCTTTACAGGTTTTCCACGCAAAAACTTATGATGTCATCACAGGTTGTTTCCCTTTCATCTGAGTGTGTGCTGAATCCTCGTGCAACGTTTAGACGATAATCCATTTCCCTACCGCCGCAAATTTTTTAGCACGCATCAATATATTATAATTGAAAAATATAAAAAGCGTTTTTAAAATTACTTGAGAGTTAAAGTTTTGATTAGAGATGATTAAAACAAAATTAGAGTGACATGAAAAAAGTGAGGAGGGCAGCGGCATCGAACGTCGCCGGAGTAGGTTAAAGAAAGCGATGTGAGAAGAATGAAGCAGCGGCACCCATATCTCAGTTGGTTGGGCACACGTTAACGTCGGAGAGATTGCCTTTCTTTTTCTTATATGAGTGTGAACTTAATGGAGAGGTGAGGGTTCGTATTCTTTTGGGAATCGATGAGTATGCATTTTAGATGGCCGGTCATGTCTTTTTTTTATTATTATTATTATAATTATTATACTTGCCTCAACATTTTTATATTTTTTAAATTTTTTTTGTACAAGAAATTTTTGTAGTTTGTATATACTCCTTATTTCTATTTTGCTTTTGTTAGGAGCCTCTCTCCTATATACGAGAAAATATAGCAAATGAGAAGAGAGAGAGAGAGAGAGAGAGAGAGAGAGAGAGAGAGAGAGAGAGAGAGTGTGTAGGGAGAGAATGAGCATACATATGTGTTCTCCTCTTATTCGCTGGGAAAAATTTCTTTTCGGACTCTGAACATAGTCTTACGTGCGGACTTCAATAATATACCGCCATATGTGCTATATCGAGTTCATCTAAAAAAATATTAAAGTGAAACCGCGGAAGTTATTAGAGTGAAATAATGAAAGTTATTGGAGTGGAACCTCAGATGTTATTTAGAGGGTTATTGAAAGATTATCATGGGTTATTGGGGTATTAACTCAAATAACTTAGAAATAACCCCTCTATAACCCCCAATAATTTCTACGATTCTACTGCAATAACCCCCAAATAACCCACCAATAACTTGCGTTGCTTTATTTCAATACCCCCCACAATAATCCTCAATAACCTCCGCGGTTCCACTTCAATAACCCCCTGCATTAACCCTCAAATTACCTCTGCGGTTTCACCTCAATAACCCCCTAATAAATTTCGTAATGTAGTACATGTGACAACATATTACTGGAAGTCTGCATGTAGAGCTTCGTCCGGACTCCGATCGCAAAACTTTTTCGATTCGCCGGCCCTAGATGCTTGAAACATGTTTAATATTTCTCAGTACGTGCAAATGGTAAACCTTATATAAAGCTGAAGCGGATAAAAAAGAAGCTAAGCTTTGTTTACTTTTCTAGATTTTTATCTCAATTCGATGCTTTCTTCGTTCACATTAAACAGTTTTTATTAAATGGTACCAATTTAGTTAGGTTGCAAGCCCGTTTCAAAGCCTCAGCCAACTTAA